TAAATGGTTAACCCACGAATTGATCCTAATCTGACCCATGACCCATATAAATTGATAATATAAATTATTTATGAATTACGGGTTAAAATATATACATCTTAACTTATTTTTTATAAATCAAGTCAAGTTGACGAGTTCGAGTGAATTTTTGCCAGGTTTACCGGGCTGTAACTCTGTTGGCTTTTGTTATCGTATCATCTTCTTACTAAAGAAAAAGAAAAAAAGGAAAAGAAGATACCGACTGGAGAAAGAGACTTGAGATACCTCTCAAGTCTCAACTTTCTTATTCTTTAGATCCCTAAACACGTGCACTAAGAAATCCTCAACAAATTTGGTTATTGGAAAAGTGGAATTAGGGCCCTGAACGTTAGTATTTTGCATCAAGTTAGTCCGTCAACTCAATTTTACACTTTTTTTAGTCCCTAACTAACTCTAGAATTCTGCGCCGAATTTGTCCTCCGTCAATAACTCAGGTACGTGGCCCGTTAAACTAACGGGAATTCAAGCTTTTTCTAAACATTTTAATGACGTGGAAATAACACGTCAGACATTGGGTAGGTTGCCAAATGCTGGGAAATTTTTTTATCTAATTTTTTATATAATTTTTAAATGTTATTAAATAAATACATATAATTAATATTATAAATTTTAAATAAAAAATTTATTTAAATAATATATAAGATTAAAAATAATAAAAAATTATTTTTAAATTATTTTTTTATAAGTTAATCAAATTAAATTTAATTAAATAAATTAAAATTTTAAGTTTGCCCTTCAAAGTGTTTGTCTCCTTCGTTACTCCTTCATCTTTCCCTCTCCTCTTGAATTCTCGTATCGCAGGTTAACCGTAGAACCCAATATAGGTTTACTCCCCATCACAAGACAATGCTGGGTTTTGTTGCTGCTCGAGGAACCTGTATTTCGCCTGGCACAATGGAACCATCCTGTGATAGCAACGTCGTTCGTTAGTGTAAACCCCGTCGCGGAACGGGAGCTCGCAGTGGAGGGAACCAATCACACACCGACGAGCTCGAGTGCCTGTAAACCATCAATTGGCTCCTTTTGATGTGTGGGTTTGAAAACCTTTTAGATCAATTTATTGAATGTGATTTGGACTTTCAGATCAGAACCGGTGTAGCCTAAGTGTTTTTTGTGGAAGGTGGAGGCGCTTTGGGTCGACGTAGAGGAGGCTTCGACTTGAGCTCGCCATGGATAGGGGTTTTCATGCCTTTCTCTGAACGGATTTCAGAACAATCGGATTAGATTCGAGCAGCGTTCGAAGGGAGTAGTTTAAGGTTTACAGATTGGACTTTTTGCAGGTTCTGTTGGGATTTACTCGTATAAGAGAACCAGGTTGATTCTGCGAGGAATTTGAGATACATATATATATATATATATATATATATATTTCACAATTGATTTTAATAGTTCGAATTTTCACTTGGCTGGTGAGAAATTTAAAAATATGTATTATTATGAAAACAGAGTAAGAGTCAATAATTTAAAGTTTATTTTAAAAATTTTATATTAAAAAATTAATAATATTATATAAAATTATAAATTTATATTTTATATAATATTAAATAAATATTACGTAAGAATTATCATTCAATCATTTTCCTACGTATATGGACCAACTCAACGCATATCATGTATTTTGTCCTTGTGTAAAATCAACCGGAACATAAAGTTAGGAAAAATGCCATTTCTGCTTAATATCATGCCACGTAAGCATGCCGTACAGGGAGTTTAGTGCAGAATTTCCAAGTTGAGGGCTGACAATGGTAGTGTTTTTTGAAGTAACAATGGTATGATGTTGAAAAAGGAAATCTTCACAGCATATTCAACGACGTGCTATGGATCAGAAAAAGAGTTTTTCTCCGTGGTCCCCACTAGACGGTGGTTTTGATCATTCGTGATCGTGACAATAAGCCAATTCGAAGGCTCGAATTTCCCACGCTTCCATACTCCCAGTTCTGTCTTCAAGATTAGAGCTTCCTCTCACTCTCTGAGAGTTTCAATTCCGCCACCTAAAAACCCTTGATATTGTTATCGATTCCGGCTCTCTTAATTTGAAAAGTACCATTTAGATCAGTGAAGTAACTAGCAAATTAAAAGGGCGAACCTCCCCTGCTTTCGTTCACAGACCTGCTCTTTCCTCCTCGTCTCGAAAGTTTCAGCTTAAAAAACTTTCTAGTAGTTTTGACTCTGCTACCCCTTCAAATTTTGACCGATTTGACTTTCTCAGTTTGCGAAGTACCATTGAAATTGTAAAAAGAACTAGTGGTGGCCGTAAACTAGGATGCAATCTCAAAAGTTTTTCACTGTTGAGTCGATCACTCGGAAGCGAGTGAATTTGAGAGGAAGGAGCCCCAAGGAGATGGATAGAGATGCGCTTATTAAGAACGCGCAGTTGGAGCGCGGTCGCCGCCTCCAGTTGCGAAAGGAGACTACTGCAGCTCTCAAAATTCAGGTTATGTTTTGCTCTGACTCGAATCTGGAATATAGACTATTTGGTGAAGTTCGTGTGCTGAAATTATTTGTGTCATGTTTATGCTAGCTAATTTGGTAGCGGTTTATATGCTGATTCTGGATTCATTTAATGTTCTTGGATTGTGTCTATTGAAGATTTCATGCTTTTCCGAATTTGCTTATGGTATTTATTAGATGATTTAAGGAAAAATTTTAATATTTTATAATTGAAATGCTTCAACTCCAAATTCCATAAGTTGTGATTGATCTTGGATAAATAGGTGGGAGAATGTAACTATGTTTACTTAGGGGGGTTGTGAAGGCCTATGGCATGTTCTTTCTAATTTGGCAGAGAGGAACTGCTGTTTGATTGCATCTTTCTAGTGTTTCGTTTTCTGCAACGTGTTGATTCATTACTAGCTACAGAAATGCTTCAGAGCAAGACGGGCAGTGAGAGCTGCACGGTCTTTAGTACGTGAGCAGTTCTATGGAACCTATGACAGACAATGCCAAAATGTGAACAGGTTTTTTTAGATCCTTCCCAGCTTGTGAACTGCTACAAGCTGAACAACTCCTTGCCCCCATCTAATGAATGCGAGCTTCATCTTATCATTAATTCTTAATTGCAGGCATTGCTTTGGCCCAGATTCAGGGTTCCTCCGCCAGCTATGTTTCTTTTTCAATGCAAAAAATGTTGATGACTTTTCAGTCCTCGTTGAGACATGCCGATTACTTCATCATTTTGTTCAAGATAATGGTATTTTTCATCAGTACTTACTAAAAGAGTCGTCTAATAAATAGCTAATTGAATGTTGAGTAATATGATGTATATCTGCAACCAATCATATTTGGTAACTCTTAACAATATAAGGATATTTTTAAATTGGTCCTGTTCAACATGGTAGCACATTTACTGGGAAAGATTTTTTGTTCTCTTATGCCGTTGGATTCGTGTCTTTTGTTTGGGAATGATTAGTTGATTTTATGAAGTGTCTTTGGTGGGGAGTGCTTCTACAAATCTCAAATGATCCAGTAGTCTTTTTTTTTTTTTGGCCCAGTTCCTTCTACTCTTGGCTTAAAGTTTGGTTGTCATAACAGTAACTAATCATACAACAGGAAATGTTGAGAACCTCTTTGCAGGCATCGACCGTTCATTGGATCGTGTTTTAGCTGCATGCAGAGTGCGGAAGCTGGCATTTGCTTGTTTGCAGGCTATACATCAGAACAGGTTCGGACATCCTCACCTTATTAAGTCAATTATGTATAGCTTTATTAGTTCATAATTTTTTTTTTCTCCCATCAGTACGCGTGATGAAGCTTCCTTATTTGAGGTTTATAATAGCTTTTGCATATGTTCCTTTAGCGTTTCAGGGACCTAAAATTAAAAAACAAAAATGAGGGAAAGAATGAATGCATGACTTTAATTGAAAATAAGATTCCAGCTTGTAAAATAATTAGTAAGGTTTTTTCATCCTGCCTTATATGGTATAAATTAAGTTTGTAATAAATATATTATTTTACAATTAATTTACATAAAAAAATAATAAAAGTTGACTTAAATTTAATCAATTGGGTAATTAGAGTTATGTATTCAGTTTGGATTGTTCGAACTAAATCAAATTTTTGATTATCTAAACTAATTTGGAATAAAACTTTTATACCTAATCCAAACTAAATTTTTAATTCAATTATACTTATAATTTCAGTTATTCAAAATTATTCAGATAATTTGATTAATTAACTAAAATAATCAAAATACACCATTATTCATCACTTTTTGTCATTAAAAGTCTTTTATTTTTAATTTTGATTACTTGTAGTCTTTTTCTTTCGTATTCTTATGTATAAATTTGACTAAAAAATCTTTATCCAAAAAAATTTCATATAACACAAAAATTAAAATAAAAAAATAAAATAAATTTATACTAAAAAGTTTGGGATAGTTTTGAATAATTTGGTGGTTCATATTGATAATTTCATATATGAGTTAATAATTATATTCAAATCAAAATTAATTTCAATCATTTTAATTTTATCCAAATATTTGAAATATACAAATCAAAATTTAAAAATTTGGATAAAAAATTTAGATAGTTCAATAATATCTTAAATGTACCCACCCCTATAATTAATTACAACTATCCATTTAATAATAAAATTAAAATAAAAATTAATTTTTATTATCTTTTATATAAATTAATTATAAAAAATATATTAATTATATTTTTAATTTGTTCTCCAAAACATAAAGCAAAAGTAGACAAATCATGAGCCGATACTTTTGAATCCAATTGTTCGACCCCAAATCTTAAGTGTTTGGGTGAGGGGGTGAGAGTTTCGAACTTTACCATAGTGAACTCTATCAAAAAGCGATTCAATGGCAGCGCGCTTTATTTGATGGGTAGAATGTTCATCCGATTTAGAAATTGAATCCCCAACTACTAACCACTCATTCATATTAACTTCCTAACTATTATTTTTGTCAAAAAAAAAAAAAAAAAAAAAAGAAGCAAATCCTAATTAATAAACAAAAATATAAACAGATTTACTGAATTACGCTCATCTCCTTTTCTCATACTCCCTCTAATCTCCTCTCTCCTTTTCCTCAGGTTTCATTAACATTCATAAATAATAGAATTCAGGTTCTCCGTTAGCAGAGGACAATTTCCTAGCCAGTAAAGTAAGTTTGGGGCCATTTCATTGTCAGAAAAGTTTATATAGACCAAAACGATTCAAATTCAAGAGTCGAGAGATCATTCTGTACTGGGTATATTCTGCAATGGGTAGAAATAAATTGAAGGATCAACATGGGTCATTATCGAATTTGTTGCGTACTTCAACTAGGGCCACAAAATAAACTCTGACGACATTAATTTGGATGCAATCAGATTAGTAAATTGTTAAGAGTGAAGAGTTAAAGGATCATCTTCCAGAAACTATTTTGAATTAAAGTGTTAAGTGAACAATTTGCCTGTCTCTATCTATTTGGGTTGATGGTGATCTTAGTTCTTCTTTGGACAGGAGTAATCTGAAGGATCAACTTTTAACGACTTCCGAAGAGTCTACCTTACCCACAGCTATCTTGCTTCAGGCAGTTCTATTGTTGATAGATCCTGAACGTCCATGGGCTTGTGAAGTGGTTGATTATCTCATTCAGAGAAATCTATTGACTCTACTTAGAGAAATTATTCTTGCAGTTAAGGTACCCTTCTTATGGTTTTCTGTTCTCTGACAGCCATGCTTCTCCACATAAACTCCTTTGAACTTGTAAAATTGCATGATATTTGCTTTTGTTGAATTGGTTGGTTCAGATTACAATCTTGGGAGCCAACAGCTTTTCTGTAACTACTTCTTCATTTTTTTTTTTTAAAGAAACCACCTTTATTATGTGGTGCAGGCAAGTACGAAGGGTCGTAGTTCACATGGGAAGAAATCTTTAGTGGAGGATGTGCTTACCCGTATAGCATCCCATATTTCCCAAGAGCTAGTTACTCCTCGGGATACTGGTACAAAATGGAGTCGTTGTTTCTCATCACAGATTCTTACAGTGCCTTTCTTATGGCAGCTTTTCCCATACTTGAAAGAGGTAGGTTTCTTCCACACTTCCACACTTTACTCAAATGATCCTTCATTACGTGTTCTCTTTAGGTTAATTTTCAGGCTATATAATGGCATGATGAGGTGCTTGAAAACTCTCAAGCTTTTCTTTTGCATTATTCTGTATATCCAACTAATTTCCTTACAAAATCGGCTGGTTTTACTGATTTCTTTTTTTATGCTTCAAAATATCTTCATTTTGTTAAGCGTTTACAGTATTTTTTTTTTTTTGTTTTTGGGGGCTAATTATAATATTTCTTATCTTTTCACTAGGATTTTGCGTCTCCTAGACTGAGTCAGCATTACATTGATCAGATGGCAAGTGATATGGGGACTGAGATTCCTGGTTATGCCGATCTTCTTGGTAATATTTTAGAGATAGCAGCTCTTGCTTTAGCACATCATTATTGCTCGGTTGAAATGGTAAGAAGCTTATCCATATAGTAAGAAGACTGTCTATGTTCTTAATTCTACTCTTTTAATTCTGTTTCAAATGTCAGCAATGGTAT